TTGTAGCTTCTTTTGATTAAGTGATTTTAATTACAAAGTCTGTTTGAAAAACACTTCAATACTCACGTAGGAATAATAAAATTAGCGAAGTTTGCCGAAGTTCTTAAATTGTATTTTATGTTGTAGGAACTTTAGTACTACATTAAAAAAATTGCAGATTTTATGCCGTTTTCTTTAAAGCCGTAAATGTAACAAGATGCCATGTAATCAAATAGATGAATCAAGAGATTCATAACATAGTACTAAAAACAGAAATAAAAGAAACATGTATTAAAAGTTAATCATGGTCTATATAGTATATCTGATGGTTTTTTATAACACCTGCTGTACGTATCACATTTAAGACTGAATTGATGAAGCCGTGTTGAATTGTCACCGCATTTAGCCTGGCCATCGATTTATAAATTAAATAACAAAGTTGTCTATTATTATCTGTTTTGGTGTGATTGTTGTAGTAAAAGTTTTAGCCAGTCAAAATACGGCATTTAGAGGATCTAGCACGAAGTTGTATCGTAGAGATAATGGTAACTTTTTAAAGGCAGTGAACATGTAGGCCAAATTTGTTCCAGTTATTTCACAACACCTTAATAATTGCAGTAAATTCAAAAATAAGAAAACACCTATTCCACACTACTTATGGAAGTATTTTCAAAATGAAATAATTAATACGTTAGCCGAATCTATTCGTAATGAGATAAAACGCATTGTCACATAAGATAAATATTACACTATAATTTTCGACTCTACACCAGATATTAGTCACACAGAACAAGTAACGTTTGTAATTAGATGTGTGAACACTATTAACGGTAAGGGAGCTATGTTAGAAATTATTCTATGATTTTTTACCAGTAACTAATACCACTGGAGAAGGTCTGTGCAATTTTCTATTAGAGAAGTTATTACCTACTCTGCAGCTCGAAGTTAAAGGTATGCGGGGTCAGGGATATGATAATGGATCGAACATGAAGAGGGAAAATATAGGGGCTTCAGAAACGGATTCTCGAAATCAATCCTAGAGTATTATATTTAAAGCGTGGGGCTCGTACATTAAATCTCATCGTTCATGACGCTGCCAGCTCTAGTGGTGAAATTTCTGGTCTTTTTTTTATATGGTACAAGAGGTATATAATTACTTTTCTGCGCCCCCATATCAATGGGATTTACTAAAAAAAACACGAGAAAAATCCAACTTTAAACCATTAAGTGAAACAAGGTGGGAAAGTCACATCAATGCTATTGTACCTCTAAAACAAGACCTAAAAACATTATTACCGCATTGAAGATACCACCAGAGTCATGAAAAGAAAAATGGATGCTGAATCAACAATTAAAAATCTTGAAACACTTAAATTTTTTGTTCAATTTTAATTTGGCATGATTTATTATCAAGAACTGATTCTATTGGGTAAAATGCTTCAAAATCCTGAATTAAAAATCGCGAAATTCATTGATGGCTTAGATGATTTTAAGAATAATTAGTTCTCCAAAGATCTGACGATAATTGTAAAATATTTGTCGATTCAGCAACAACAGTTGCTAGAGATTTAGGCATTGATCCCGAATTTCCCATCTCGAAGCTCTGGAAAATGGTCCGTTTATTTTATTACTAGACCAGTGATAAACCAGTTTCAAGTCCCTTCCAGCAATTCAAGACTCCTTTCTATTTTGCAATTCTTGATCATGCGGTTTCTTTGGTAAATGAAAGGTTTACCTTATTATGTGAGTGCTATTCAATATTCTGCTTTCTGTATGAGTTTCACAACATTTATAATGATGACCCCATGAAAGCTTGCATGAACTTAGAATTAAGTTATACGTACAGGAGAAAAGATGTATTGTGAAAGATATAGACGGTATACAACTCTTTAATAAAATAACTTCATTCAAAGATATTTTTCCAGGTAAAAACTGCCAATTGAGATATTATAATTTAAAAAAATGATCTCGTTCCCTGTTTTCCAAATTTTGCTCTAGCAATAAGGATTTTTTTTTAACCTTTACCTGTTTCTGTGGCTTCAGGAGAAAGAAGTTTCAGTAAATTAAAAATTACCCGAGAAATAACATGTCACAAGAAAGGCTTTCAGATTTGGCCATCATCTCTATTGAATCCGAAATTTCTGAAAAAATTTATTTCACCGAAATTATTGAGAAATTTTTTCTCAGAAAGCAGGAAAGTTATTTTGTAGTAATTAATCATTAGATAGTCTTTGTAGCAGGACTGATTTATATACTTTTCGTTTCACGAGATTTATACTTTAGTGCTCTTTTTTATTAGATTACCGTATATTCCGAAGTATAACGCGCACATTTAATACAAAAAATAAGATCGAAATTTACGCGTGCTCATTATACGTCGGATATAAAAATAATAAATTTAAAAGTTAGAAAAAGATGAGCATACAAAAATTAGATTTCTGCATGTAGCAAAGTGCTATGTGTTTAAAAATGATACAGCTCATGAGTTTAAAAAGTTTCAGTATAGGATAACATTATATTTGTCTTCCGCCATGTCTTCAAACGCATCATCGAATTCTCTTTCATCTTCACCATCACTACTACTCTGAACCATAAATAAATAATCATCTTCCGTTCCATTTACATTATTAGAAATACTACATTTTTTAAATGTGAATTACTTCGATTTCAGTTTCATTTCGCTCTTTTATTATCCGCTCACACACCATTTTTAGACTGGCATAAAGCATTTGCCTCCTTTTGTAAATACACATGTACTCTAATACCCATGTATTTCACTGTCGTTTTAAATTTTCGTTGAATATTTTATTGATACACACACGTATCGAACTACTACATTATACTACTGAATTAATGGCGTTAATGCGCCTGGAATAACTGCCATGTCTGTATTACATTATTTCAGAAATTTCTTCCTCTTATCCGTTAGATGGAATATGAACATGCCCCAAACTAAAAGACTTTCTGGATTCTTTCAGGCAACTGGACGCTTTTGCCAAGCATTTCTCACCCACAATTTTACGCCGCTTTCCTCCATCATCCTCTCTTTTGAACAAAATGAAAACACCATTTGGGAAATTCCATTTTGCCAGAGTCTTTCTTTTAAAAGCAACCATCGGTTTTAATTTTTGTACCGTCAGCTATGGTGAGGTGAGATTTTTCGTGACCTGTTGTTTATACAAACCGTTTTTGTGCCTTTCACATCAATCACACGCATATAGTTCTCCTTGTCTCTTGTCAATTCTGCATACCATTGTTTGAAAGCCTGGGAAGAATCTTCGAATGAATGACTTCAAAGAGTAAGAGCATTGCACATGCGTCTTTTATGATTCTTCGTAAAGAAAAGGGTGCGCGTTATTCGACGAATATACCTAAAAATTAAAAAATATAGTTTGAAATCATAGGTGCGCGTTATACGCCGGAACATACGGTATATTTTCTGAGTAAATACTCTCGTTTTACATTCCTAATTATAAAATGTCTATTTTAATTTCAAAGGTAATATTTTTGCTTGTTTAGTATTTTGTTAAAGCATTTTGTCGTTGTTATAACCCATTAGCTGGCAAAAAAATAAAGTTTTGCACATCAGACTTTATTTGCATTTTTATTAATGTTTTACTTTTTACTCTTATACAGTTAGATGAGTTTATAACGTCAACGTTAAGTATTAGTCAAAATATGAAAAATTCTCTAGAGGGGCGGCACGCTAAGTTTTTGCATGTAGGCGGCCGACACCCTTGAATCGGCCCTGTCATCATGACAGTATTTCCGGTTACGAACACTTCATACGGCAATATACTATTTCCAGAGATATGTTGAGATAAACCATGCCACAAACACTCAAGGGAACGTCATTTTAATATTACCAATCGCTTAACACAGCCTGGCAACAAGTGATTATTCGACCTGAACGTTTGGTTTATTTAATTATGGCAAAGCACTGGAGACTATCTAAGAGAAGGGCAGCCTTAACTGACTCGTAGACACGTTACATATGGGAAAAAACCACGAAAACCCCCATGAAGCTGGCCTGTTAACCGGGATTCGAACCCCGATCCTAACTATTAGCGTTTAGTGACTATACCGCTCGGCCGCTGGTAGGCCTTCGGCCTGAGCAAAATTATGGCCTGAAAAGGGTTGCAAGCAGAAATTCTGACATTTAGAATATTTCTTTCTTATTTTTTTATTTATGATATTTAGTTTCAAGGGAAAACCATGGGCTAGGAAGTTAACGTGAAAGATGGCGAGAAATTATTATAGAACCATAAAATGAATTCAAGAAAGAGCTACAACAACTTCAGAAATAGAAGATGACTTCAGGGGAAGAGAAAAATGATCCTAGTTCTCTAATTCTTGAAATTCATGCAAAGAGGGGTAAAATGGAAAATTTCATGCAATGTCACCCTGATAAGGCAGTAGCAAACGTTTTAAAATGTCGGTAATAACAAATTACATTAGACAATTACAGGATGGACTAGTGAATAGTTACATGATGTTTTTATGAAAGGGGATGCCTTATTGAAACAGTAACATCTTCCTCATCATTTTCGACTTATGCCTTCCTCTTCCTTTCGTAGAGATACAGTAAAATTAAATTAAGCTTTCGTATATTTTATCTGTTTAATATTGTATTTATCCTTTTTGTTTCATATTTAATGAATTCATTTAGTTTTGGGTTAAGAACATACGGACAAAATGCTGTTGCAAAGTAAACAACTATCTGTTGTTCAAGAACGAAGTTATCTATTTTACATTAATTTCTATGGAGAAAATTGTTTCGGTTTACGAATATTTCGGTTGACGAAAGGCTTTCAAGAGCGAATTAAAATTCACGAATCAAGGTTTCACTGTATTTGTGTTCGAGGTCTTCTTTAATTGGTTTTTATATATTTTTCCCTTGAAGGAACCAAAAATTCAGGCTAATTAAAATACTATCTGTAGGTATAGTAATTAAGTATAAAAGGCTATCAATAGTATTATTCAATTATATTAAAAAGCAGAGTTCCTGCAATATAATTTACCTCATATCTGCTCCCTCTTGGGGTGCTTTGGTAGACGTATCCTTGACAAAAGCAGTCACGGTGGCAATGGTTTGCCTCGGATTTATGTCAACCGTTATGCTCCAATGGGAAGAAGGGGAAACTTGTGCACCAAGAATCCTCAAGCCGTTCTTCACTCGGGCTCTAAAAAACATTAAAAAAATCAAAAAACAGTACAACAGTGGCTAATTTGCATAATTTATTTATTAAAAATTAACAGCGACATTACGCCTAAATATTCAATAAAAATACACAGCGAAATTTCCTAATACAACTATTTTTTTAAAAGTAGTTATGCTAAAAGGAATTGTTGATTAAAAGCAATAATTGATTATGCATAAGTTTATCACTAACTTAAAGTATTTTTACTATATGCAGCGGCTGATGAGATTGATCTCATCGGCGCGGCCAACTTGTATGGAAGGTACTGGAACTTTTCCGCTAGCTGAGCACAGTTAAAGACACATGAGGATACTCCAGAGTGTACGTCGGAAAGCTCCTGGTACCTTCATGAAGTTCATATTATGTCATCAAGAATGCAACCTTCACTGAGATGTGGATATACTTATATAAAGTCTTGGTGAATAGTTGCCGACTTGCATAAAGATGCTGGTATCATTATGAAATCGTCGGCGGGGGCGGGACATGCAAATTCCTCTCTTTTATGCTATGGAATAAGGTATTAGAGCCAACATTTATGAAAAATGGTCGAGCTAACAACAACAACGAATTAAGACGATGAGTTTGCGAGTTAAGAGGTTGAGTTTACGAGTTAAGACGATACTTTTACCATCAGTTCCTTTCCAATTTTTACTGAAAGTCAGGTCTGGCTGAATTGCAGTTGGCAGCCAATATTTAACTACAGATAATGTGGGAGTAGTACATTTGCAAAAACTATTTAGACAGCAACAGCGGGAACGCATAAGGACCAGCCGAGTATTTCTTAAAATGTTTTGCAGTTCGTGCTTTTCGCAGTTACAGAAATTAAGAACGGTTGATGCTGGTCGCACTTACAAAGATTTAGAATAGTTGGTGCCTTACAGACTTACACCAATTTAAGACAGCTGTTGTTTTCCGCATTTATAAAGATTTTGAACAGTTAGCACCTTGCACATTGACAACAATTTATAATAATTGGTGCTTTTCGTACTTACATAAATTTAGAACAGATAGTGCCTTTCGCACTTAACCTTGCGTTAGGCATGTATCTTTGTGTTACATAACTAGAAGCGTGGTTACCAGGCGTCACCCAGCTGTTAAAAATATATCTAGAATAAGGAAAATCATTTTTGTGCTTCTGCCGCTACAATAAACACCAATAATTAACGTTCAGCTACTGAAAGGCGCGACACCGAAAATCAACACACAGTGTTGGAAATTTGCGACAAATATAACTGGGTCACATTTCACCCACACGCTTTACCCTAGGGTTAAATAGTTTTCTCGTTTCCCCCCCCCCCTTTTTTTTTTTTTTTTGTATAAATCCTTCAATAATAATTAGCGTTTCATGCCACATTTAAAAAATCGATATAAAGCCACAAGCAATCCTATGGCCACCGGTGCTTCGGGAAACTTTCGGATAGTGCCATTTGCTCCTGATTGCAAAACTGTTGAGTCTGATTAATTTATCGATGTTAAAAGTCAATCAAATAACAGCATGTTCTTAATTAATTTAGCATGTTTAAAAATTGCAAAAATAAACCTATTTGGAGTCATTTAAAAGTATATAATCTATTATAAGCCCTATATTCTTTATTTTTCTCAAAGAAAATTTCCCTGATTTAACTTGCATCTCAAACAAAAATTTTGTGAAAGTTATTTTCAGCAAACGATATTCATTACCTTCTCTTCTCATTCAGATATACCTTATTTTAGAAATTATAACGTTAACAAATTGTAAAATAGGTTATAAAAAATAAACCTTAAAGTCTGTGATTATACACTGACTACCAATAAGTACTTGGACACCTATGCAAATGACGATATCTGCGGTCCTAAGGTACGTCACGGACTCCGCCGGTATATATATCGTGTAGGAAACAGCATCGGCTTTAGTCGCATGCAAGATGCCTTGCAGTTCGGAGCTCTCTGATTTCGTGAAAGGTATAATTATTGGGTATCACAAATGTGGCCGTTCCTGAAGGGACATATCTAGCGATCTGAAGTACCCAAAATCGACAGTGGCCTATGTGATTAAGAAGTGGAAGGTGAGCGGTGATTGTCGGAATGTGCCCCGAGTCGGCAGACCAACGAAACTGGCAGATAGAGACCGACGAGTGCTGTCCAGAGAAATTCGGAAGAACCGCACCCAACCGATGGCCCTCATCGGCGAGGGAGTTTTAACAGGCATCGGGAGTATTGTATCATGAATACCATCCGTAAGGAAGCACATCTGCTTGTTTTTCATAGTCGTGCTGCGCCCATAAGCCTTTGATCACAAAGTCCAACCGCGCTGCTCGGTTAATGTGTGCAAAGCACATCGAAAATTGGACCGTAGATCAGTGGAAACGGGTTCTTTAGAGTGACGAATCAAGGTTCACCCTTTACCGTTCGGATGGCAGGGTTTGTGTCTGGCCGTCTACCTGGAGAACGTCTCCTGCCCAGAATGCATTGTGCCAAACAGTCAAGTTCGGCGGAGGTGGAATTATGGTCTGGGGGTGTTTCTCCTGGTATTGGCTGGGACCTTGGTCCCCATTCATGGTAAGCTCAACTCCGATGCCTACTGCACTATTTTGGATGACAATGGTGCTTCCTACGTTGTGGCAGTTTTACGGGTTGGACCCCTGTTACTTTCAGGCGACAATGCCAGTTGTCATGTTGGACGTTAACAAGGCTTAGTATGGTGCCAATGGAGTTCATCGAATGGACTGGCCTGCCCAGAGTCCAGACTTGAACCCTATCGAGAAGCTCTGGGACGAGTTGCATCGCCGAATTCAGGGGTGCACTACCCATGCAAAATCGGTGAAAAAACTTCTATGTCTTCTCCAAGCCGAGTGGAAGAAAATACCACTAGCTGTTATACAAAAACTTGTGGAAAGTATGCCCCGGAGGGTCCACGCTGTAATTACCTCTCGTGGAGGCTCTACCAACTATTGATTTTGAATAAAGTTAGCTTTTCTTTTCTACCACAGGTGTCCAAACACTTATTGGTAGTCAGTGTATACCCGATATTTACGCATTAGAGCCAACACTTTGGCACACTTTACTGATTTTTTACAAAACAAAAAGAATAATGGCTTATAATTGCAAAAATCCTCTTTACTACTTGCAATGTATATCATTATATAATATTGATGTACATATTACAATTTATTGCAGAAATTAATCAACAAACTTACTTACCACTATATTTTGCTTGCCTGGAAGAAATTCCGTCGTACAAAATTTCAGAGCATTTGTTCCTAATAACTATTTCATAGCAAAATATTACATTTTTGAAAATTTTACTATAGTTTCTTCCACTGCAAGCAAATCAAGTACAATTACTTTGGGCGCATATTTCGAAATTGAGTTTGAGACAAAACATATCCCATTTTGTCTATAAAAACTGTTATAAATATTGGAATTAAAAAAATGCATATGAAATTGGCGATGTTGTTTGTTAAACCTAAAGAACTATTATCCGTACGTCTGGCCTGAAGAAATGTCAGACATAGGTAAGACAAAACGTAAAGGTGTCTTGCTTTACGGATCGTAATGTGGATAAAGAAGTTAAGTAAGTAAAGTACGTTTTCCTTACGGATTCTAAATGTAGAAGATTTTTACAGTTAGTAACTGTTTTGTTTAAACTTACAGAAACTGTGGGAAAATTATGAAAAATGCAAAACAGTTTCAGGCGAAGATATCCATACGCTTTGTATCCGATTTTCATACCTTTTGCAGTTTTCTACAGAAGTATAAAATAACATTAAATATGTCGGAAGTTAGGACGGGACCAAAATGTTACCGTAAGTCAGGTTCGACTGCATCAAGATAGCAATAACTTTTAGTGAAAAATCACTCGATGAATGTATTTTATACTTTTCAATGGCTGGTTTGGAAAAGCCTACATATTAATAAATAATGAATTTATTTAGCACATATTAACCCAAATATATGTTCAGTCACTCGGTAATGAAAAACACGAAGTTCAGAAATAGCTTTTCTTGAACATTTAGATTTGCAATTTCTACTTTATCCAGTATCTGAAGATCAGAAGGTTACAAAAGCAACTGCCGTATTAAGATGGCGGCCACTGAACTGGTACAAATGCCTCGGCAAATTTTTGTTGGGTGATCCAAAAAGTGACTCCTACAAATCTGTAACATTTAAAAGAGCCCTTGTAAAAGCATTCCTCATAGTAACAGATACAGCCAAGTTAGAAGTCGAACTTTTCAGTAAATGCCAGTTGAAAGTCGAAGTGGCCAACTCTACTAAAAATTCAAATTGTTAATTTGTGATATGGGAAAAAGACCGATAAAGAGTTATTCAAGTTATTTTGCCCAGGTTGCTACCAAAAATCCAAAATATCTTTAAGAAATCCAAGCATAAAGCAAGAGAGTGTCTTAAAGTACGTGTACAGCAGGATATGGCCAGAGGTCGAATCGACAACTTTATGGACCCAACCCCAAATGGCAGGCCACAGTTTGACAGAAATAAACGTTTTGAAATTAGACAAAAATTTTCAACCGCGAATGGCGATCACTAAGAGAAAGATCAAAAGAGGAAATAGGAGGAAGCAGCAAGCAAAAATTAAACTAATGAAGGTCACTGAAAATAAGAGGGTACAGTTACCTCGGAGGCAAGAAGAATCCCTCCAGTATTCAACTAAATACGGTAGCAATAAAAACATCGGTTCTGCTTGTAATACAAATATTGTTAGATAGCGTTGTAATGGTGCACTATTAGGCACCTGGACACAATGCAGTTTCCTAGAGAAAAATGTTTTCGAAAATGCTTCAGAAGATTTAGAATATTTGAGGTTGTAGAACAAAAAGCTACTGCCGCTCTAAGCGAGGGAAAGGTCATGTTACACGCGCAACAGAAGGTAGTACTTGACGTTGTAATAAACCTTCAGGCCTAAATACATTTAGGGATTGATTTTTTAAAGGCAGCTGGGGCAAAATAAATTTTCAGGAGACCACGCTGCAGCTGGAGATGAAGGA